TTTTTTTTCCCTCATTCTTTCTTTTTTTCTCTTTCTTCCTTTCTTACTTTTCCTTCTCTTTCTCTCTCTCTCTCCCTCTCTCTCTCTTTCTCTTTTCCTCTTTCTTACTCTGCCTGTCTTCACTATTGTTTTTCCATGATATCCATAGTAACGCGAGAAAACCGACAGCTGTTTTATAAAGAATGATAAAGGGCGGAGAATAATGCTAATCTTGGTAATAAAAAGACACGTATCTCATGGTATTCTCGTGGATACACGATCTCACTCTCTCTCTCTCTCTCTCTCTTTCTCATATCTTATACGTTCGCCCTTGGCTTTCATCATTTCAGAATATAACATCGAGGATGGGATTTTTAAAAAGAATAATAGATTCCTAAAGTGATCGTGCTTACAATGAATTGAAAATATAAAAGCAATAAAGTAATGGAAGTAAGGTCGACGTTAGCTTTTTATAAGTGAATCGAGAGGAACGAAAGGATTATCGCGTGTCTACGAAAGGAACATATTTTACGTGTTCTATGTTTCTTTAAAGCTTTTTTCCTTCGAATACCATTATCGAGCGACCAAGTAACATCATTCGATATACCTATGAAAGATAACGTAATCTAAGTAAATACATATCTATCTATGTACATATATACATACATACATAAATAATATCTCAACGAACGACGTTCCTTGAATCGATATTAATGAACAGTAATATTTTATAATTAATGAATAATTTCGATTGATTAATTCTTCGATTAAATGAAATATAATATAAATTATTGATCTATTATAAAATCACTTGAGATCCATCATATCGTGTTCGGTAAAATTATAAACTATGGGTATTAAAGGCAAGACATGAGTTAGAAATAGATAGATAGATAGAGAGATAGAGAGAGAGAGAGAGAGAGATAGTTGCACTCGATACGCTCGACTTATATTTTCTCTCAAGCTTCATCGTTAAACCGTAGATCGTGTATGCTGCTTCTGATTTCGTCGGTTCAAGAGAGCAACCAGATAACGGCACATCTATGGTACATTAATCGCAGTAAATAGGATCGCGCGGTACATTAATATCTCTCTATGCATATAGTTCTGCATTAGTAACACGCAGTTACATACGATAACTGCTGCTAGCGCGATGCCGATTACGCGTAGTGTAAGCATGCCACTCGCCAATGTGCTGGCTTGCGTCTAGTGCAACCATGGGGTCTCCACTGTTATTATTATCCACGGTATTATTACTGTAATTGCGATCGTAGCGATTTCACAGTTTCACAATCGTTCCCAACTATAAAATCTTTAACAGAACGTTCCCGTCGCATTTCCGTATACTTTTATGATAATTTTCCATGCAAACAAAAGTGGACAATTGAGATCTTCCTTCCTTCCTTCCTTCCTTCCTTCCTACCTCCCTCCCACCCTTTCTTTCTTTCTTTCTCGTTTTTCTCTTTTTTCACTTTTCTCCTTTTATTTTCCTTCACGATCATACCAAGTCCTTACGAGATTTATCTTACAATCTTATAAAAATCACGCTCCGTGAAATGCGAATTCTTCTTCGTTCGTTGAAAAAGAAAAGAAAGTAGAAAAGAAAAGAAAAGAAAAGAATAGAATAGAAATAGAAAATGAAGAAGAAAAAGAGAAAGAAAAAGAAAAGGAAGGAGACACTCGTTTCTCAAGGATGACTTTCTTTAAGACAGTTTATTAAAATTTTCAAACGTCGTACGGATATAGTTCGAGTATAGTAAGAAAAGTTCAACTTGATTCTACCAAAATCGTTTCCCTTACGCTTACCTTCGAAACGAACTTATCGTTCCATCGGAATCTCTACGGGATGATTCACCTATATAAATATACAGCTAACCGAAGAAAAATAGAAGAGTAAAAGGGACGAGCTTTTCTTCACTTTCCTTTTTCTCTTATTTTCAAGCTTTTCCTCGACGAGAATGCAAGCGACTTTACCCATCCACCCGTCACTCATATCATTCCTACCATCCTCCTCCTCCTCATCCTCCTCCTCTTCCTCATCCTACCCCCATCCACCCTCATCGTAATTTCAAACGGATTACCTTACATATCCGTCTACACGGTACGCTCCTTACACTTTGCCGTTCGTCGATCCAACTGTTCTAAATTTTCAGTACATTAAGTTCTTAAGCAAAAGAAATTGCGGCCGAGAACTGACGACGACAACGACGACAACGACGACGACAACGACAACGACGACGACGACGATGACGACGACGGTGACGACGAGAAACAAGGTCACTCTCACGGGGAATGAATAAAACAAAGAATAGAATACCATGAAAATGCAAAAGATGAAATTGCTCAGATTCGGATAAAAGTCCTCTTTTTTTTTTTTCTTTTCCCTCTTAAACGAGTAAAGCCGTAAGGTCGACGTTCTACTCCTCTTTATTTCTTTCTTTTTTTTTTTTTTTCTTTTTGTTCTTTTCACTTTGCTCTTCTCTTCTCTTTTCTTCTCTTTCTCTCCCTCTCTCTCTCTCTCTCTCTCTCTCTCTCTCTCTCTCTCTCTCTCACTCATTCACTCACTCATTCACTCACTCTCACTCTCTTTTTCTTTTCTCACGCGCGTCGCCCTTTAAACTGCTTACAAAAGTACGCAAGAAGGTGCAAGGAAGGTAACGCCATTGCCAAATTCAAAGACGTATTTCTTCTTTATACCACTACGACATTCCACGCTTTCCTTTCAGGTAATAGAATCATTCGAAGCACCTTTCCTCGTTCTATCTATTTCTCTCTCTCTCTCTCTCTCTCTCTCTCTCTCTCTCTCTGTCTCTGTCTCTGTCTTTGTCTCTGACTCTGACTCTGACTCTGTCTCTGTCTCTGTCTCTGTCTCTGTCTCTGTCTCTGTCTCTGTCTCTACCCCTTCTCTGTCTCGTTCTCTTTCTCCTATTCCTCTTCTCTTTAAAGTGACATTCTTGTATCTCACGAGTCGAGTTCGAGACCTAATTGCTTTAGAATTTACATAGAGAATGGCAGGGAAGCTACTCGATTTGCCCTTGCATTTCTGGCGGTACCGTTGAACGCAATAAAACTCAAAGGAAACATTAGAGCTAATATACTTCGACACGCGACCACGTTACTCTTTGTAATGCCTTCAACAAAGGATTTCAATTAAAGTATATTAAAGAGGACATTATTTTAAGAAATTATTAATGTTTCTACTCTGTGAGGCTTTAAATGCCCGATATTGACATATATATATATATATATATATATATGTTTATTTATTACATTGATTTACTACACGAGAACAATGAGAATATTTCACAAATATTCGCAGGTGTTCACATCGAAAAAGTTACTTCAAAAAAAAAAAAAAAAAAAAGAAAAAAAAGATTAATAATAATAATAATAATAATAATAATAATAATAATAATAAAATAAAGAAAAAGAAAAAGACGATACACGCACGTTCGCAGTTTATTCTATTTTCATCGTTTAACTTTTTCTTTCGAGGCACTCAGAAGAGAGATCCTGGGAAATGGAGCCAGAAGAATCCGATTTTCTGTTGTTAAAGCCGTTCGGGCAGAAAATGACGTGAAACCATTTCCGCGGTCACAGCCGGTTGTTCGGAAACGATGGTTTTCTATATGAGAGTGGGAATAGGGTAGGACGAGAGAGAAAGAAAGAGAGAAAGAGAGAGAGAGAGAGAGAGAGAGAGAAGAAAAAGAAATACTTACTACCTGTAGTAGATCCTGACCTTTAAAAATGTCGACATTCGAAAAAGTTTCGACGAAGGAACAAACAAAAATAAGACTGGGCAAATTTTATAGGGTAAGATTCTTTGAGAACGGGAACGAGAACGAGAACGAGAGAATCGTAGAAAGTCTTATTTCGAAAAGTTTACCAGAAAACGATCCACTCGGTTCGCTGCTTTGTACGAACTTTAAGTTGAGAAGAGGTTACAACGACTTTTCTCTCTTCTAAGCTACTTTGCAATTTAGCCGCAATTATGCAACGTAAAGCCGCTGTTAAACAGAGAAGGAAATCATCCCGCGAGTTCCTATCTTTTCAAACAATTTTAACAGATTTTCTCGTGTCTCTCTTTCCCTCCCCTCCCCTCCCCTATCCCTATCCCCACTTCTTCCCCACCCACCCCCATCCTCCTTCTTCATCTATCCATCCCTTACACGAACAGAATCGTTTTGCACCTACGAAAGGGATAATTTAAATCTTTCTAAAACGAAATAATCAACATCGATGAGAACTTTCGTAATATAACTGATCGCTTAATGGAAACGCGATAAAGTCAAATGAAGTTTTAGAGGTTCGAAAGAGAAGATTATTCCCTCTATTGAAATTTTCATGGGATAATATTATATGTGACAGCTTATTTATCGGTAATAATATTATATTTGCCACCGTGGGAAATTTCGTAAATGTTTCAACGATGGAATAACAATATTGACGTAGAAAATATATATATATATATATATCGTATGATTTAATTAGATATAACAAAAATATTTTTATCATATTATTAAATTTGATATAAAACGAGAAACTCGTGACTTTTAATCGATTGTCGAATCGTACGTTTATTATTATAATGATCGAACGATTGAAAAAAAAAAAAAAAGAAAAAAAAGAAAAAGAAAGAAAATGGAATTGATCTTGGTTAATATGACTTTTGAAGTTTTCTCGTAAAATAAATCAGTCTATCGCCTTTGTAATTTTGGTAAAGCCACCATGAGCTCTGACTGTAATATTGGATATTTTCTTAATGGCAAAACTTGGAAAGGCCATCGAATCTCTTACATTCTCATGAACTCTCTTGATAAATCGGTACAGGTGGAGTGGGAGGGGGGGAGGGGAGCGTTGGGGTACTCGTTTCGATAGTCTCATCGTACGATCCCCTAAGGGGGATCTAAGAACGTCAATGGAGATGTGAAAAGAGGTTGGTTGCCTGGAGATGAGACGATTCTCAAACCAGCTTAAGAGAGAAAACACATAATATATTTCTTTTCTCATTCGTGTTACAGTCATTGTACCAGCGACTATATCGCCGTTTATTCGGGTCCAACGACCTCAAGTCCGCTCCTGAAAATGCTCTGTGGCAAAGAGAAAGCATCGATGATGTACAACGGGCAAGAAGTACTCGTTGAATTTAGGTAAAAAAAAATTATTATCATTATCATTATTATTATTATGATTATTGTTATTATTATTATTATGATTATTATTATTATTATTATTATTATTATTATTATTATTATTATTATTATTATTATTATTATTATTATTATTATTAATTCCTTATCCAATAAGTTTATCTTTATTTTTCGATAAAATGAACGGATACCTAAGGACATCTACGTATTATATTTCAGAGCTGGCCCAGAGGTATCTCCATTTGATTACAATGGTTTCGTGGCGACGGTAAATTTCATTGAAATCACAACCGAAATACCTAATACGATTACCCCAGAACCGGCCAATAAAACTTGTAAGTGCACGAATTGATTTCTTAACATAATACGATTATCTATGCGAAATGATACATACAATGATATTGTTATGGAAAAATAAAGAAATCAAATTGTTTTAAATTATTTCTATTATTTCCTTATCAATATACGCGAATTATTATTATTATTATTGTTTAGGACGTTTCCATAAATTATACGTTTCTTCTACTTGTTTCTCTCTTTTGTAGCGGATATCATGAAATCGGCTGGGAATCATTTTTACAACGTAAGATATAACAATCGTGACACTGACGAACATCGTAAAGATCAAGGATCCTTGACTGGATATAGCTGTGACCTTGAAGTAAACGGGGAGAAAGTTCGTTCAGGTCATCACGATACAAGAGGAAAGATCAAGTCAACAACCTGCCGGCTCGTTCTTCGTGGTGGTACTTATCATACCGGACACGTTTCCTTGACCAGTTATAATCTCAGGTAATCTCTTTCATCCCTATTACATTTATCTCCTTATTTATATCCTTTCAAGAACAATGAGAAATATTTTATTCATTACATTTTAATTATAATATTGATCGATCTCTAATACGATTAATCATTAAAATAAATATAAATATATTTATAACGAAAATAATCATTTGGAAATATTTCTATTTTGAATGGGTTTTCTTTTTTTTTTTTTCTTTTTTTTTTTCTTTGTTTTTTTCCTTTTAACGATTCGTAAAATATTTCATAATAATCAAAGTATTATTTCACGAATCGACATACTATTTATATTTTCTCTATATTTTAATAACTTTACCAGACTTACTTCAACCGACTATTATATTCGCTAGCTCGTGAGAAACTATCTTATTATATACATAATTTTATTAGATATGTGACGTTGCTGTTGTTGTTGTTATTTTTGTTGTATTGTTGTTGTTGTTACTGTTCTCGCTTCTTACCACTGTTGTCATTCCTACAGCATCTATTTTCCCAAATCCATTCCAGTTGACTTCTAACGCGGGTTTTAAATCAAATTCTTGAAAGTAAGAAATTACGTTCGTATTGTACGTCGTAATTATTGTTAAGACGTCTTAACGAAATCTTTATTCGGAAAGTAAAGACAAGAAAATAATATCCATCCGCCATGAACAATTTAAAAACTGTAAACTTTTGAAATTACGACTTAATTAGATTTTTTTTCGATTGAATTTTTTTTTCTTTCTTTCTTTCTTTCTTTCTTTCTTTCTTTCTATTCTTTTGCTTTTTCTTTTTTTGCTTTCTCTCTTTTTCTTTTTCTTTTTCTTGTTTCTTTTGGTTTTTCTTCCATACGCTTCACATATACTCAGAATATATCGGGTCTTTAGTCAACAATGATTTTTATTCTTTTCATATACAATATATCATTGATATCTAATATTCATGGGGAAATTCGACTCGATCGGCAAAAGAAATATAGATATGACCTATCGTCGATATAAAGACTTTCGAGTTTATAAATAAAATATCTGCAATAGTAGGATACGATTCGATTCCATTTCTATAGAAATATTCTCGAAGGAAATACTGAAAAATCAAAGAACGACAAACCTCTCATATTATCGATTTCCTCTAAACCCTTACTTTAAGTCTTTATATTTATTTCTCACGTATCGAGAATATCTCTTCAATTATCTCAATAAACGATATGTACGTGATAGAAATAACATATACCGATATAGCCTGATACACACACACACACATACATATATATATATATATATATGTGTATATATTGTTATCTATATTATAGAATAGACTCGTTAGATTGAATTTCTTAATTGATATTAATGTGAATTTTTAGAAGATACATACAATTTAAGATACATAAATGCATAAGTATGTACAATATGAAATACAATATTGCTATTTTTAATTATTCAACTGAGAAACATTGTCGTTGAGAAACATCGTCGAAATCTTTCGCACGATTATACAATTCAACTTAATTAATTTCATTCCTCGAAACGCGACATTGCGAATTTCATTATACTGAGAAGTATAGTATTAAATCACAGAATCGTTTTGTGAACGTAGATATATACACATCACATATAAACTTGAGACTTTCAATTATCGTGTAGAATAAGTACAACATGGAAAAACGAGTACCTATTTAACATTCGTATCTTCGAGGTTTACATATGCGTTTAAAAGGAATGAAGAAGAGAGAGAGAGAGAGAGAGAGAGAGAGAGAGAGAAAATAGGAAAAGAGAAGGTAGAGAAATAATACGTGTTATAGGGATGGATTTGAAAGGGCAACTTTACTCTGATCTCGAGCATACCTACATTGATTCAAAGGGACGAATAAACGAAGAGTAAACATTTAGAGTGCCCGAAGGTTTCAATGTACAAGACAGGTATAGTAAGCTTTATTGTGATATCAGTATACGTTTCAAATAAAATATTATATATCTATGAGTCTCATTGAACTCAAAATATAGGGAATACTCTTGTATATATATATATATATATATATATATATATATATGTGTGGTGTATGTGTGTGTGTATGTATATGTATGTATCTACAATCCTAATCTCGATCACTTCGTTATTTTCAACAAATCATAATAACATTACTATTTTATCGGTACTATTTTATCTTCCTCTCTCCTCTATTCCTTTTTCATCGATTTTTTTTATACCTTAAAAATAAAAAATAAAATAAAAAATAAAAAAAAAAAAAACAGGAAAAACAACATATAAAAAAAAATTCATACTATTTTTACGTGAATGAGAGAGAAAAAAAAATGATCAAATTGTCAATATTATTATTGTGATTTTTCAGCGCGCAATCGTGTCAATCGATGATCGAGATATTCGACGGTATACCGGAAGGTGGAATAGCGAACACGGTGAAGTCCCTCGTACGAATTTGCAGTCCGGCACAAAGGCTACCACGAGAGTTTGCTCGACGAGATGAGTGAGTAAATAACGAAAAAAAAAAAAAAAAAAAAAAAAAAAAAAATGAAAACAAAAACACAAAAACAAAAGGAAAACGAGAAGAATAAAAAAAATATGTATATAAGTATTAGATACCTTCAATCGATCTCTTACGCAGAGAACGATCTTTTTTTTTCTTTTTTCTTTTTTCTTTCTTTATCGCCTCGAATCATAAACGAGAAAAGTCAATGTGACGAGGAGACTCGTTTTTTTTACAAAGAAAAAGGAAAAAAAAAAAAAAAGAAACAGAAAAAGAAAAAGAAAAAAAAGAAACGTATGAATGTCTACACGATCACGAGAAATTTTTTTTCTTTTTAGTCTCATCTCATAGTCTTGTAACTTTCATTCATCTAGTTCAAACGAATGCATTCCTTCGCTTGAAACGGAGACAAGATCGACGGAATGCGTTCTTTTCTCTTTCTATCTGGCTCTCTCTCTCTCTTTCTCTCTCTCTCTCTCTTTCTCTCTTTCTCTCTTTTATCTCTATTTTTCTCTATATCTCTTTCTCTCTCTCTTTCTATCTGTCTCTTTATACTTTTCTGCTTACATGTACTTACGTAGGTATATATATATATATATATATATATATATATATATACATACGTCTATGTATTAAAAATCGTAAAACAGTCGCCAACACACATATACATCATTCGTATTTCCACTCGAGAATGAGAGCTGCCACATGGAGCGATACCTCGTACTCATCTTGCCGGAAGTCAAAGCACGAAAGATGACTGGGTTGGGTGGGCTCGTTTTATTCCATGGTACCTGTATTTAGCTAGAGAATATATTCAAATGAAAAGAGTATAATAAGAGAAAGGAAAAAAGGTATTCCCTTGTTCTCTTGGATTACGAAACGCTGCCCGTATCCGTGAGTCAATAGAAAAGTCCGATTAATATTAAAAAAAAAAAAAAACAAAACTCTCTTTTCTCTTTCTCTCTCTCTCTCTCTCTCTCACTCATTCTCGTATTTGTTTTATTTTTTTATTTTTGTTTTTCTTCACTTTAAATATCAACACAGAATCATAAACATTTTATGTAACACCATCTACGCGCGATAGCGTGTTAATAAAACAAATTCACACGGGAATTCCATGCGCGCGTAAAGCGCGACAAATCATTCGAACGCGCGGAGAATGTGCGATATCGTTTACGTTATAGAGAAATGAAGCGAACGATATGGATCCCGCGAACGTTACCGATTCGAAGGAATAATTCAAGCATTCACCTATGAATGAGACAAATAATTTAAGCGCTCTCTCATACAAACACACATACACACATACACACACATATTCTCTCTCTTTCTCTCTCTCTCTCTCTCTCTCTCTCTCTCTCTCTCTTTCTATATCTGTCTATCTATCTATCTCTTTTACATCCACATTCTATTTTCGTTTTAGCAAATGCATAGCTCTGAAAGGTGTATCAATTCTATAGAGAAAATTATTTGTTTCCTGAACAGTGGTGCGAAACACCCCCTACACCCATGTGTCTAACTATATATTTTATTATTCGACCGATTAAATGCCGCTTTAATGTACGATCCTATCATTTATAATTAACGAGCATAAAATCCCTGGTGATAATAGTCGATCGTCGTTGGGCATATTAATAATTAGTTCCCGTAAATTGACCGGTTTGTCGTTCCCTTTTTTCACTCATCATTCTGTTCCTCCTTTTTTCCTTTTTAATTTTTTTACTTTTCTTTTTTTCTTTTTCTTTTTTTTTTTTTTTCTTTTGCATTCTTCCTTTTCCTTCTTTTTTCTTTTTATTTTCCTTTCCCCTTCGAAGTTCGTGTGATTAATTGTATGGATTATTTTTGACGAACGATCTATAATAAAATAATACATTGATTGTACATGAAAATTATATGAATAATTATTTTTCCTTAAAAATCGTCGAAAGTGAAATATTTCGTTTGTGGAAGAGTTTCCGGTGGTAAAAGAACAAAAAAAAAAAGAAAAGAAAAAAAAAAATAATAATAATAATAATAACAGATAAAAGAGGGAAAAGAATTTTCAGAAAAAAAGTTATCGTTGTTATTTCTACATTGATCACCGTGTACGTACATATGTATGTACATACATATATATATATATATATATATATATATATACATGCATCACATCACATCGAGTTAACCGATAATCGAAAGGGTCGTTATTCAAAGATTCGTACCGAACATTACTAACGCCAGTTTCGAAATGAAGATCGACGATCGAGAGAAGTACGAAGGGAGAACAGGTGCAGAATAGAAACGAAAGAACGAGAAAAACGACGATATTCCAAATCGATGTTCGATTTAAGACCGACCTTGAATTTACTTTACGAATTTCAAAAATTCCTAAGTAAGAACTTACAAAAGTGTCCTTTTGGGATTTCATGAGTAACGTTTTAGGATACGAAAACTAACGACAGTACTGGGAAAACTGGAACATTCCCTAACGTCCTCATAAATGTAATCTAACAGAAAACGAAAGAACGAAAGAATGAGATAAAGAGAGAAAGAGAGAGAGAAAAAAAAAATAATAGAATGAGCAACAAAATGTCATAAACTATCTTTCAAGAAACGATTTTCGTATCGCCCTTAGAAAAATACGCGAAAGGATAAAAATGAAAGGAATGTTCATACAGAAAAGTGAATTCATTCTGATACGTTGCACACACACACACACACATAAATACACAAACACATACATAAGTGTGTGTATATATATATATATATATAGATATATATTATGCACAGCCGACAGAAATAGTAGAATAGAAATATAAAAACGATATCCAAGCGTAGGTAGAATTCTATATATGTATGTACGTATGTATGTATATGTATCTATATGTATACATAGGAGTATTCTCGTCGTCCCGTAGGAACTGACCGCCGGTCAAAAAGGCCAAGGGATTTCGACGTGACGGCTCAAACGATTTTCCAGCCGTGCGTTTCTCTTTATGTTTCTACTCAGGAACATTCTGATTTTCCGACCGAAGTAACACCTATGTCAAAATTCACCGCACCTGCGCTCTACCTATATATAAATTTACGTATTACATCAACCTCAACGTAAACCCGTAAAATTTTCATACACGAACGACTAATTTAAACGTTGACGCATTAAATCAAGAGAAAAAGAAGAACGAAAATATATATGTATATATACATATATTATATATATATATATATATATATATATATATATATATAAATATTTAGAATGGATTATAAAGAGTAATGGAAGTTGACAATGAGGTCGTTTTTTGAAAGGAGCCTCATTTTGACGTTGAAATATTAATGACGAATAATACAATGTATAAAAAGGAAAACATAAGACTTATTAAAATTGCAGATTTTCCTCGTCTCATCGAATAATGATGACGTTTACACGTGAGAAAATACATTAGTAAGAGGAAAATATAGAGGAAAAGAAAAAAAAAAAAAAAAAAAAAAAACTTGAACTTGATAAATTTATAGACGGATGGAGAAGAATTCTCGTTCGACTATAAAATGTCGTCATTTCAATCCCCCATTTTACGCTTTGATAATTCGCTATCTAGTTTTTTTTTCTTCTCATTTCTATGTTTTATCATTTCGCCGAACTATTTTGTTGTTTTTCGCCAAACTCACATTCGCCCTACGTGAGAATCTCACACAGGCATCGTCCGACGACGTAACAGCCAGTTTTTAATCTATTTTAATTTCTTAACGTTTTCAGACAGCCAGCTGTAATTTATGACTGGTAGGCGGCAACGAATAGGATGTACCATTGTACATACGTACATACATATATACGTACGTGCTTATGGGACTGCCACGTGTTTTATGCTGGCTAATCTCGTAAAAATTCATGCAAAATAAAGCTCGTGCTTCATCCCGCACGCTTCGCCCGCAGGCACGTTTCCCATTCCGCGATGAGATCACGGGATCTTTCCCGGTACAAGCTTTCATGATGCGTTTAAAACGACGTTAACCTCAACAGACTTTCAATCTGTTCTCGGTTGAACCGCTTTCAAAGAGAATACAAGAAAAAGATATATATATATATATTATATATATGTAATATAAATATATATAACAGATATATAAGAGAAAAGATCGATATTTTCTTACTATTCAATTTCCGACATTAATTTAAAATAAATACTAAGGATATTAAATAAGATCGTCTTGAAATTTTTAACTGATTCTTTCTTATTATCCTATTCTACGGAAGAGCTTACTTGCTCGATCAATAAGTTCACTAAGAAGGATCGTCGAATGGTAAACGTAAGATCGATTTCGCAAGAGTACCTATCCTTTTCTAAATCAACAACAATCGTATTCCGATCGAGAAGTTCTCTCTCTCTCTCTCTCTCTCTCTCTCTCTCTTCCTATTTCTATCTCTGTCCTTCCTGTTGTCGTTCGTCCATTCATAAAAGTTTCTTGAACTTTCTTCGAAAACTCATAGAAATTTTCTTTTGGACCAGGACACGTTCGATCGGTATTCCCAAATGCCACTATAGAAAATACGAGCTGTCGATTTTGTACCAAGAAAACCACAGTTCTCCATGTTTACGATGCAAACCTGTAGCCTGTCGAGAATCGTTCCACTCCTGCAAACATACCTTTCCCTACTTGAGAGATCTTGGTATAGCGTGTATAGGAATGTACATAGGTACGTACATATGTACGCTTTCACGTGTACACAATGGCCGACCTTACTATTATAGCCATTACTACTTGAAGTTCCAAGTAGTTCAACCAATCACGCGTATACACGTAAACATCTTTTGAACCGCTATTATTTACTTTCTATCGTACAATCTCGAAAAATAATTCCAATTTATTGTTACACAATTTTTATTCTATTCTTAAATATAATTTATCTAATCCAAAAATGAATAAATCTCTCTCTCTCTCTCTCTCTCTCTCTTTCTATCTATCTATCTATCTATCTATCTATCTATCCATCTATCTATCTATCTCTACATATATGTATATCATTAAAAAACTGAATATAGCCATTATCATGAAACGAACGAAGATAATTTTGGATAAAAAATTTATATAACATTTAAGAAATAGAACACGTTACCATTCTTACGAAATCCAATCTAACCATTATTCGGGTTAGACGTCGCGGAGCTTTAAGAAAAATCTGAATTTCAGGCCCTCACTGGGTCTTGGTTGGATTGTACGGAGAAAAGTACACAGTGATATGTATGCCAGGTCGACATACACGAAATCCAAGGATGAAGAGTTGGCCGTTAGCCAACTGGGTCGAACGATCTTTCGATTCGGGAAGCCTCGTCTCAAAATATCATTACGACGTTTTCGGTCTTCTCAAACGTAACTATATCTTATGGTTGGCCCGTCAAAAGGATCACCGATTGAATTCTGTAATGTGATGAAAGATTCTTGTTAAATCGATGTCCCGATATTTTTATCCTATCGTTCATTTTAAAATCATTCCAATGAATAGAAAGTAAATATACATATATACATATATATATGTGTGTATATGTGTATGTGCATGTACACACGTATATCGAATGGATAAAGGAACTTCAGTTATACATAGGTATTTATCTTTGTCTATGAACAAACTCATTTCATACAAGAATATAAATACCATAGAGAAAGCATATTAGCAAATCAAACAGGCAAAGGAACCTACTGAATTATCATGGCCTTCTAACTTCTGGCAGAGGATTCACGGTAAGGTTATCGCGTGGCCCTTCTCCCAAGGCGTCCATTTACAACTTCGTCCGAGCAAAATGGAGTTGAACGATGTGCAAAATTTATCGAGCACAAAATGTGCTTTGTGACAGTACTTGGCCGAACTTTTGGTCCTCTCTTGTACTCGCGTGTTTCGTCATGCGCGTTCTCGTGCTTGCCACACTCTTTGGTGTATAAAGGCAAAGCTGCATAATTTACAACGAAGTTCCTACGGGCATCCAGTAAACGAGGAAGAAGGGAGAGGGAGAAACAGAGAAAGAGAGAGTATATATGTGTATGTGTATGTGTATGTCTATGTATGCGCGCACTCATGTATGCATGTATGTGTGTGTGTGTGTGTGTGTAGATGGATGGATGTGTTTTGTCGTTCATGAAACTATCACTTTGACGATCCTTCTCAATATATCCGTGTAAGCTCGTCTTTAAGAACGAATCAAACCGATCATTATTCATAATAAGATACCGGGTTTCTTCTCAAATATCATCTCTATTATCTTTCAAAATTCTCTTTATTCTTTATTACGAATAAAACAGAAAGAAATTGGGTCGCGCTCTAGCGACCATTTCTTTTTGATGGGTATATTTTTTCATCATTTATATTGATGAATATATTTATCCATCAATGTTATATTAGAAAACTTTTAATGAATAGGTCAGGATTTATATTGTATGTATAAGGAGTAGAAATATCGCTAAATGATTTGGACTTTTTCTTATATTTTTAGATAACTAATATTATATCAACGTATACGTTGAAAAATTCAAAATTCATCAAAATTCCATTGAATCCTTTATTGAATCGTTTCGATATTAATAAAACTAATAAAAGTTCATTGAATCTGTGATATAAAGATATTTTTATATTTCAAAATTTTAATCGTCAATGATTATAAACAATCGACAAAAATAAATATTTTTACGAAAGAATTTTTTCTTTATTTTTCTTTCTTTCTTCTTTTTTCTTTTTTATCTTTTTTCTTACTCACTCTTTCCATACGATAATATTAATCGATCTTGAAATTCATAATGAATCAGAATTATATCGAGATATTATTTACTATTTCCTGTTAAAGTATCGATGATAAATGATAATATTAATGTGAGCTTTTACGTTTATATCGGGTAAGGGAGAAAAAAGAAACAAAAAAAAGAAAAAAAAAAAAAAGAAACAAAAATAATGACAAATCCGCCCTTTTTCCAAATAAATTAAAATCCTATAATTAAAATGGAACGGAGCTTAATCTCGTCATTATTATTTCTTATTGATTCTCGTATTAAAAAAAAAAAAAAAAGAATATATAACACGTTTCTACGTAGCTAGTATCAATCGTTCTTTTTTCTTTTTCTTTTTTTTTTTCCTTTCTTTCTTTCGTGTTTTCTTTTCAAAGAACCGTCGGATGTTCTTTCCACGAACGTCTAACGGTATTACAGATACTTAAGGTGTTAAAGGCTTCTTTTTTCCACGTCTGTAGATACGTCGAACCAAAGCGATACTCATCCAACGGTAGAGACATGACGGTGGTCTTAAGACGAGCCACAAACAATACTACTGACGAAGAATACATGGACGTATCTTATTATTTTCACAACGGTAAGTTATTATACGTTCGGATAAATCTTCTTTGAGATTTTTCAAATTGTTAAGCAGCCCAAATTTATTTCATCATTTATTTATTTATTTGTTCGTTTGTTTATTTGTTTATTCAATTAATTGAAATAATCATTCGACAAAGATGAATATAAAAATTGCATAAAAATATATATATATATATGTGATGGAAATAGAAGAAAGAAAAAAAGAAGAATAAGAAGAAGAAAAGAAAATTTTATAAAAAATAGTAGTGTCTAAGGAACATCTAATCGCTAAATTTCCGTTGAAATTTAATCGTCCATTGAATGTTAAAACGTTTTGAACGTATCGAGGTAGATTAAAGTATACGGGGAAAAAGGGGTTTTAAAGTATATCTCGTCGATGTTAAAAGTAATAGCTGAATAATACTATGAAAGATGAAAGAAAAAAAAAAAAAAAAAAAAAAAAAGAGAAAAGAAAAGGAGAAAAGAAAAAACAAGGATAATAATTTATATGGAAACGTAGCTCGTCACAGGAGAAAAAGATACCGACGAAAAAATATGGAGAAGCCGTTGAAAAGCTTTTTATTTTTTTTTTTTTTTTGGTTTTCTTTTTCTTTTTTCTTCGTTTTTTTTTTTTCTTTTTATTTTTTTCTTTTTTTACGTTTAAGTGGAAAACGTGCGCGGACTGGCTTTAGTCGGACGTTCGAGAAACCGGCCATTAAACACTTAATCAAATTTACGCGTTCTTCCATAAAATAACGCTTAAGGTTATAAATGTTTCATTCTTCGGCCAAATAATTTGTCAAACAAATTTCAATGTTCGTTAAATTCGTTTTATCGCTTTATTTACATTTATACGAAAGCTCTTCCGATAAGTACATATATATATATATATATATATATATATGTATATATATGTGTCTATATATATAAATAAATATGTAGTATCAACGTTTACAATGTATTTTACGTTATCATCCGTAATATCAATAAGAGATATTACACTTTTTTGATCGAAGAAAAATAATGATGAATAAACTGGTATATATGATGATAGGGCCGACTAGTTAATTGTTTCTATTTCATTAGATTTATCTTTTTTTCGATGGTCTAATAAATGAACCAAAATTCTCATATAAAAATTGATTAAAATCGTTCACGTCGATAAACGTAGAAAATTCCTCGATACGAATAGAATAATAACGCTATTGATTGTTTTAATTCACCACGGAATTATAATGTTTTAATAAATACGGTTAAAGCAGAGTGAAAATTTGTTCGAATAAATAGAAGATATTGGTATTTGTTGAAAATCATAATTCGGAGATAATCGAAAACATTCATAATCATTAACATTGTTTCTACGAATACAATTAATAGGACGGAATTAAATTTTCGCGATGTTTTTTTGTATTTTATTTTTTCCTAATCGTGAACAAACGAATCGACAACGAAATTAACTAATTTGTAATTGATCCATCAAAGCTCAAAATATATATATATATATATATATATATATATCTCAATAATATTCGAAATAAGTCGCATTGTAATTTATGCGGAAGTAAAAGTATCGTGGAAGAAAAAAAAAAAAAAGAAGACAGAAGAGAAAGAAAAAAGAAAAAGAAAAAAAGAAGAAAAAAGAAAAAGGAAAAAAGAAAAATTGTCGAGCCGATAGATAGAGCAAAACAAAGCGAATGACGAAAGAGACGGAAGTCACACCGGCGACAAACCACCAGCATCGTCGATTTGACGCTGATTGACGAATGTCCTCGTCGCTTGTCGACGTTATTACGTTTACACGCGGTACATGCATCCAGATACCTCTCCTCTCTCTATCTCTATCTATCTTTATCTCTCTCTCTCTCTCTCTTTCTCTCTCTGTGTATTTCTCTCTCTCTCTCTCTCTCTCTCTCTCTCTCTCTTTCTCTTCCTCTTTCCAATACCTCTCTCGAGGATCAATAAGGCCGATTTTGTAGGTTGAATAGTATTCGAAAATAGAATCAAACTGTATTTGACTGTTCCATTCTTAAATTAAAACGAAAGGCACGTTATGATCAATGAATGAAATCACGAAATATCAATCGAAATCAATATATTATTTATTATTTACAATATTACAGAATTTTTCATTCTATCGTAAAGTGAAAAAGTCGATGGAAAAGGCGATAAAAAAAGAAAAAAGAGAGAGAGAGAGAGAGAGAGAAAGAGAGAAAGAAAAAAGAAAGGACAAAAAAAAGGATGAAAAATAACAGATCTAATTCCTTTCAATGTTTCTTTCGAAGTGAGATTATTTCGTTCGAAAAATTATTATCTTCCCTATCGTAATCTCTAATAATTTATTTATCGATCATTACAATCAGTAACTCCATAGGTATTATTGTACACGTTTCTTTAATTCTCTCTATTCCAATGGGAGAACAACTTTTATATACTTTAATCGAAACTATCCACCTCACGTAATCTCATCGATAATGGACTTTCTTTTCAAATTACCGATTTTATCTATCACTCGACGATCTTTTTATTCTTTTCATTCGATTCCACATAGTACCGTTTAAATATCTTTCATTAATCAAATACGTGCTATCTTTTCGTCTCTCTCTCTCTCTCTCACACACTCTCTCTTTCTCTCTTTCTTCTCTTCTCGTTTTTATTCTTTTTTCTTTTTCTTTCTTTCTTCTTTTTAACCTCGGAAAATATCCTTGGAACTTTCATTTTAAGCCTACGACGTACGTATATAAGGGAGCGCAAAGTACGAAGGAAATCGTAAAATTTGATGCTATCCTCCGAGACCGATTCCATCTTTCTTCGAAGAAAGCGAGTATACCTTTCCTTTTGACCCCAATACACGAGCTGCTGCCAACGAGTTCCTGGGGTTATTTCCTTTAATTGCAAGGCGAACGCGTGAAATAAATTTCATTTAAATACCTCCTCCTCCTCCTCCTCCTCCTCCTCCTCCTCCTTCTCTTCCTCCTCCTCCCTCATCCCTCCTTGAATGGACCTCTATACAAAAGAAAATTTCTACTTCGGCGTTAAAATCAACTACTACCACTTTTGATCGTGACTCGACTTTATGACGACGAAAAATTATGAAAACTCGACAAAATTTGTATTTGTTGAATTCGTTTTCCATTTCTTTCTCTCTCTCTCTCTCTCTCTCTCTCTCTCTCTCTCTTTCTTCTTCTTTCTTTAACCCATTTCACACGTCCCGTATCATTATCTTGAATGAAAAATTCACGATATTATTGTATAATACTACCGTAATTATTATTCTTTTTCTTTTCCTTTTCTTTTTAATTATCACGTATTCCCTTTTCTTAAAGTTACTGACAGAAATAATCTCGTCGGTATTTTCCTTTTAAAAAATAATAAAGATAAGGTACACGAAACGAAGTCGATGAAAAAAGAAGGAAAGAAGGAAAAAAAATAAAAATAAAAAGAAAAAAAAAGAAAACGATCTCGCATTACCTTTGAAATTCAATCGACGGCTTTAGAAATCGAAGATAAGATGACCATCAAAGGTTAGTCTCCATTTATTACCCTTTTACTCTTAACGAAATCAACTTAAAACGTTATACTATCTGCAAAAGACAAATTGACTCTTGGACACGCTTCAGATAGCCACTTCGTCCCCATTCGCCAGGCGCTGCATCATCCAGCTTCGATGTTGCTACCGCTTTTACACTATATTAAATACACTTCATTAATTATATTTGCATTCAGAAAATAAACGACCCTCCGCCAGTAACGCTTCGTTCTCAAAGCGAATATTAAACGAACGTTCGTTTAAGATAAATTATCAACTTTTGTTGGAAATCTGTCGTTGGGGATCTGTCCATTGAAACTTTTACAAAACTTCATTTTTACGATGAAATATTTGGATTAATGTAAAAAGAGAAAAATATAGAAAAAACAAAAAAAAAAAAAAAAAGAAAATACTTTTTATGAAATACCTATAATATCGCGAATGAAAATGAATAAAATTTTGTATCATTGAATGTACGTATCTATGTATTTCATATTATCGAAGATAAAACGAGATAAATTTAGATATATTAAAATGAACGATTTAATCTTCTCAAAAAGATAGATATTTCATGATTTAATCATAAATACCATGAATATTGTATTCAATTAATGTTATATCCAACATCATTAATGTATTATTATATTGGGAATGATTTAAAATCATTCTCGAATAATCTCGCAAATCATCGGAATTGTAGAGGACGATTCTGATTCACGAACAGAGACTATCGTTTTGTATGTTCTAGAACGCGAAGGTGGTACCCAACAACCCGGAAGCTTATGCGACGTAGAATATTATGGATTAACTTCATTGGAGGAAGGTACCGTTGTACATCCAGAACCACATCGATTGTTCGCCGTAGAGGGCCCAGCAAAATGCAAACAACATTTTATTCCTGCGACCAATCAGTCGGTCATTATAACCGTGAGTTTTCCGCAATAAAAGAATAATAATAACGTAATTTTTTTTCTTTTCTTTTTCCCCCCTTTTTTTTCTTTTTTTTCTTCATGAAAACATACATTTCCATGCATGATGAAAACCATTTGAATTTTACTTAATGAACGACCACTGAACGACGAATGGCACATTCTCATACATATCCGTATACAGGAACGTTCTTCGATTTAATTACGTTTTCTTTTTAATTAACAGAAACAACGACATTCCTAAATCATTGTTCTCGTGTTCTTAATAAAATGACGTTACTTGCAGGAATAAAAAATAGTAAATATTATACGTATGTAATGTATATACGTTATAGATATATATATATATATATATATATATATATATATATATATATATATGAGCAATAAGCAATCGAAATTATTCGCGAATGAAACTAATGCACGTTTGCTTTCCTTTGTTTTGCCGATAGATCTATTCTATTATTACTTCATCCTTTCTCCTTTTTTTTCCTCCTTTTTTCTTTCTTCTTTTCTTTTCGATTTAATTTAATTTCATTTCCTCTTTCCTTGTTCGTTCTATCCTTAGGTGGAAAGCAGTTCAAAACAGATATCGAATAATCTCTGCGAAACGAAATGCGGCGACAGCGGGTGTCATTGCGTCAGTAATAAATCATTGGAGAATATGGATCATCTTCTGCTCGTCTCTGAAACTGGTCATGTCGTCACCTGTCTCTGCGGAAACTATCAGGTAATCCGAGCCTGATTTCTTCTTTGAAAGTAATCCTCGACGACGTAATCTCGACGACGACGACGATTTATCTTTCTACCCGTTTCCTCTCCCGTTACTTTCGCGAAATTGCTTCCTTCAAAAGTTCGAGGAAGCACTACTCATTGAACTCGAGCTCGTTTAATTCGGAAAATGTTCTACTACGAGCAGCCGTTGATTCTCTTCGGTGGCAAACCGAACGTTCTTATTTTACTTCTTTGCCACACTCCATCGTCCGATATCAAGAGTTTCATTCAAAATTTATTCACCGGAGATACGCTCGTAACGCGAGTCCATCGATCGGATGCCTTATATATAAATTATCCGTTCCCTTTACCAATCCACATTTATCTCCCGTTCATTTCCTTCTCTTCTTTTTTTCTTTTTCTTCTATTTCAAAAAAGAAAAAGAGAGAGAGAGAGAAAGAGAGAAATAAAAAAAGAGAGAACAAAAAAAGAGGAGAAAAAAAAGGAACAAAAAAATCCAACGACTTATCCCGATCGATCGTTTCCTCAATCGTTCGCTCGGGACTTCCTTTTTTTTCCTTCCTTTTCTTTTTTCTTTTTTTTTTTTTTTTTTTTTCTTTTCCTTTTTTTTGTCCTGTTTACCTTTTTTACTTTTTGCCTGCGCTTAACGATAAATTTTCATTCAAATCAAATACAATCTTCTCGCAATTTTCTATCTATTTTAAAACATTTCAAATCGTACCAATTATGACTTTATTTGTCTACTTGTATAAACTTGTACGAATAGGACTGGCTGCCAGTAGGAATAAGAAGTTGGACACCGGTTTATATCGAATGGTCGAGATTTTCGATGGGTGGACTGAATTTTCGTGCCGCTTATAAGTTCGTCAAGGATACTTATTGCGGTGATCACACGACGAGAAAACTTGAGGGCGAGGTGAACGGTGGCGACCTAGCTAAAGCTGGCTTAAAGCTCAATCAGTATTATCAGCAGAAGTGTACTTGGATCTTAGAATCTCTGACCGATCGACAGATTACCATCGAGGTGAAGTCCAATCAGAGTAGTAAGTAGATTTTTCTTAATAAATTAAACTCTCTCTCTCTCTCTCTCTTTCTCTCTCTCTCTTTCTTTCTAGTTAATATATAAAATACAGATATCTCTTTAAATTGTTTTAAGCGTGAGATAACACGAAGAACATTGATAGATTAAAAATCAAATTTATCATATAAAACGTTCGAATCCTTTGAAAAGATTTTACAAAATAATTAAATATGGATAATGAATATTTTTATGACTTAAGATCAAAGAATCGTTAAAAGTGATTGCGAGACTCGTACGTAAATATTCATGTTTGTAATATAGACGCTAAAATGTGTTCCTGCCATCTTATGATATAAAAAAGATATTGACAGGGGGGAAAAAAAAAAAAAAGATAAAAAGAAAATAATCAATTCCTAGGAAGTCTCTCTACCACGTTACACGTATGTATATACGTTTGTACAACATCGATGTATACGCAAAGGGACGCTACTGTGTGTGTGTGTGTGTGTGTGTGTGTGTGTGTGTGTGTGTGTGTGTTATTGATTAAATTTTTTTGCGCTAAAAAAAAGAAAAAGAAAACGAAAAGAGAGAAAAACAAAAAGAAGAAATCTTATTATCACTGATATTCAAGCATTTTTGAAGACTTGTCGAAACAATTTTCGTATTTGCGAAAAGATTTGAAAAATTTTTTTTTAACATTGCTCTAGATCCGCGCAATGCGAATCCCTAAAGGATTTTAAAAGAAACAAGAAATATTTAAGAAAACTACAGAAGGAGGTATATTAAAACCATTTCCTTTTCCGCTCTTGGCGAAGCTTTGGGGTTGTAGTTTCGTCTCTGTAATTCCCCATCTCTTTCTCAGACAGTGGTTAGGAAAAGCTAAGAAAAGAAAACCTTGGGAGAGAAAAAAAATAGGAGAGAAGAAAAAGAGAAGAAAAAAAAAAAAAAAAAAAAAGAAAGATGATAGAAGAGAGGTAAAAAGAAAAACACGAATAGAAAGAGAAAGAAGAAAGGAAGATGATAGTAGTTTCACAGTAAAGCTTTTGTTTTTCTTGTCGTACTAAATCCAATAAAGGATTTTTCTTGAAAATTTGGAATCTCGCTACATCATTCGTTTTCAAAGTTTTCATTTATACAACTCTTCGCCAATTTTTGATCGTTTTATCGAAATTTATAAATGCAATGCTACGATGTCAAATAAAATCTATTTGATATAATCGACGATTATGATTGGTCGTCTCGCTCTCGTTTTAAAGCAATTTTTTTTTATATCACACAATATTATACGTCTATTTTTTTCTTATTGACAAAAAAGGATTACATTTACTGACACATTACTGATGCGTAACAAGATATAGATATAAACGAAATACCTCATTAATGACGATGTATTGAACAGAATGATAAAACGACAATCAAATGTTCTCTTTCATTCACGATTCATCGTAAAATTTAATCAATGTGTCCATCTTAAATATGAAAATCGTACGACTATGTCACTGAGATCCTAGTCTGCGGATTTGAAGAGCGTCAAGAATGTGGATAGAACAGGAGCGATCGAAAATCTCTTCTTATCACTGTGTACCGTCCCTGAAACATTCTCATCAAAAATGCACAATACTTTTCTCTACGTTTTTTCTCTCCTTTTTTGTTTGTTTACTTTTTTCTTCTTCTTCTTCTTCTTCTTTTTTTTTCTTTTTTTTTCTTGTTTTTTAAATTTATTATTACCACTCTTTCTCCGTACATTTATGCAAATATTTGCATAGCACTTCTCGAATGCTTCAAAAATTCCATTCATATTATCAAATAACGAAAGAACGCTATAATAATAATAATATTATTATTATTAATAATAATATTAATTAATTTCAAGATACAAATTAAATGGGATTATTATTATAGTATGTTTAAAAATGAAAAAGTGAAAATGTTTCAATTGAAAATATATACAAGTACAATGTATATATTCGTCATATTACAAATTATCGTTTAACTTTTATACTTTTGTTGGATCTTTGATAGAAATTATTTTTAATGATTAATAATAATCGTCGATACAAAACATTTAACAACGTTTGTATCTTTTTCTAGGACCATGTACGGCATGGAATCTCACCATTCATAAGTACAACGAAAACGGTGATCCCGCGGGAGAAAGATTGCACACATTTTGCTCGAGGGACGTGCACAAAAATTTCACGCTACCTTGGAAGGAGAATACCGCTGTAGTTAGGCAAGTTTCTTACCAACTACTCCGAACGATTAACCATTGAACTTTGCTAAAGTTTTTTTACGACCTACCGTATTATCTCGTTTAAAAGATAGTTTTTCTTCGTCTTCCTCTTTTTCTTTTTTTGTTTTCTTCTTTTTTTCTTTTTTCCTACTTTCATTACCCACAGAGATATTGCCGACATTGATCGTCGTAAAAAATACTTCGATAAAACCACGATGAAAACTATTTGTGATGTTTGTGTCCGAAGAAAAAAAGAAAAAAAAGAAAAAATAAGAAAATTAATAATAAATCATTATTATATTGATATTATCTTTCTTTTGATAGATTACAAGCCTTGGGTAGAACAGCGCCTCAATATACCATGAAATGGAGAAGCCATACTGTTATCGCTAATACCCGACAAAGTGGACCATCGCCAGCACCAAATCACATTACCGATTCCTCGATTAATATTAAACCAAAAAAGAAAATTATTTTCACCTTCCTCCTGATATTATTATTGATCTATTCGATCGATTGTTGAGGATTTTCTATTCCTTGGCTAATCACGATCTAAACGTTCCTGTTAATTAAACGAGCCTAAATTTTACGTTGTGTATATAAAATATGTCGATAAAGAGAAAGAATTTAATTAACGTTAACGTTCAATCTGAAGTAACTTTGACAATTCAAAAGAAAAAAAGAAAGAGAGAGGGTTAGAGAGAGAAATAAAATGTTAATCAAGTCCACCATGATACATGAGATTTTACAAATGTCGACTATATTATTATTATTTTACAAAGAAATTATTGTCGAATCTATCGACAAATATATACGGGTATAGTTTATCTTTTGTAAACTTTATTTTACCGAGAGTAATCACTTTTGTTTTTAGTTCTTTTTTTTTTTTTTTTTTTTTTTTGTTGATCAAGAATAAAGAAATACCTTTAAATAACACGTAAACTCGTATTCGCACGTATACCCGTATAAGATTTAAAAATTTATCAAAATCGTTTTCTACAATAAAAAAAGGATAAATAAATAAATAAAAAGAAGAAAAAAGGAAAGGAAAGAAAAGAGGAAGAAAAAAAGTGGATTTAGATATCGTGGATAGATTGATAAAAAAATTCTTTGTAATATTGTTCGGTAAATTAACTGATACGACAAACACGTAGAAGTTTATAATATAAAAATCACATTAAAAAAAAAATTAATAAAAGAAGATGGAAGTGTCTGGCAAAATCGACTATCTTGTAAAACTAAAAGCTATATCAAGCTCTAAATCACACAGTGAATGTAAATATTATATATATATATATATATATATATACATATACATATACATACATATATACATACATATATAAATATACATATACATATATACATAGAAAATTGATTTGCAACAAAGGCGATGCACGGATTTGAATTATCGAAAAAACACACATTCTCTATAGCGCGAATGCCAAATTAGACGCGTAAGAAAAAGATTTAAGAAAAAGAAAAAAAAAAAAGGGAAAAAAAAGAAAAAAGAAGAAAAAAGAAGAAAAAAGAAGAAAAAGAAAGAACTTATATATAGGGAGATTGTAAATACGTAATAAACTTAATAGGATTTGTACAGAATAAAACGAATTAATTAAGTCGACGGAAAATTATTATATGTAAGATATACATATAAATATATATACATATATATATATATATATATATATATATATATATACTTATAAGATATTGATATTTATAACGACACGCGATTCTATGGATAAAAGAAATGGAACAAATGTATTTTAAAGAACGAGCTTTATACCCAAGGCATCTTCGAATTTATTGTTACATATATGTTGTGATAATCATTGCGACAAATGATTGTCACATCTTCCTACGCTAAAAATTCATTTCTAGTATAGAAATCTTAGTACGAGCGATCATATCGATAGCAACAAAACGTTCTTGTTGCAATTATGCATTTATAATTGTTACATAATTCAATGAATCTTTTATGCCTTCGTTATTCTTTGACAATGGGTCATTGACAGAAAAAGATTACTTACACAAAAGTGCTACTTAATGCGTCATTAGCAAGGACATATGTTAAAGCATGTAAGGCATCTAACAAAGAGGAAAAACAAAAACAAAAACAAAAAAAAAAAAAAGGAAAGAAAGAAAAAAGGAAAAGAAAACGAATGCTTAACGATATTCATATACGATATTAATGGTTTAATACGCGGCTACGAGAAAAAAGGTATGAGAAAAGAGAAAAAAAAAAAGAAAGGAAAGCAAAAAAGATCATAAAATCATCTTAACGTTATCCGTCGACGACGCGTCAAAGAAAAAAAAAAAAAAAAAAAAAAAAGGGAAAACGAAATAATTTCAAGCGCAACCAATCGATCCCATTATCGTAATATCTATGAGATTTATTACATCAATGGGAATCCTCATTAATTTCATAGCACTGAGATTAAATTTTGATGATTATACACTTTTTTAGAATACCTTTCTTATCTATAAGCGGCCTATATATATAATAACTAACTTTCATCCTTCCATATCTTTTGGCGAAAATTTTTTTTCTATCTGCAAAAGCTTACGGGATTTATTTTCTATATAATAAGATTTCGTTGTAAAAATTTCATGAAGACTGACTAGTTTTCGATGTGTCCCATTTAAAATATATAAATAATACGTTTATGTCCAATTAATAATTTCATATTGCGAATAAATTGTTTCAGCTATTGTAAAGTAAAAAAAAAGAAAAAAAGAAAAAAAAAGAAAAAGAAAAAAAAAAGAAAGAAAGAAAGAAAGAAAGAAAGAAAAAAAAAAGAAAGGATAAGAAAAGAAAAAAGGAAAAAAAAACGATGCAGAGTAAAATTTTCAAATCTCGTCGAAAAGATAAATGAAGGAAAAAAAGGGAAATGTAATTTTTGACGAAAGTCTGCGTATGACTACTAGCACCGACTGCGTATTAAACGGATGACTTGTATGACATTAAAGAAGCACAGATTTTTAATTATTCCAATGAGTCATCGAAGAGTTTAAAAATGCAACTTGAGTGATGGTTTGGTGTGTTAAATCGGTTATGTGCTTCCTCCGAAAAAAAAAAAAAAACAGCGGCAACTATTTCACATTTATTCGTCGCCTCTTTTTAGAAAGAAGTTTAAAATGTATTCACATTGATTGATTAAAAGGAAAAAAGAAAACAAAACAAAAAAAAAAAAAAAAGAAAAAAGAAAAAGAAAAAAGAAAAAGAAAAAGAAAACAGAAAAAAGTAAGGTGTGAAACGATTTAGATCGAAAGGATTTTTAAATTTTTTCACTTTAAGTGAAATTACCGATTTTGCACAAGATACGTCTTACTTATAGGAAGAATACATGTTACATGTAATAGTTACGTATATATAAGTCACAATAAATAGTCAATTGTTTCATATAAAGTATAAATAAAGTAAAATAAAATATTCGCTTTTTTCTTTCCTATCTTTTTGTTCCTCCATAAACAAATCTTTTGTTTCGTCTTTTATACATAAACAGCACTCCATAAAAAAGAATACAATTTATTCACATTGAAATTCTAATACAACTTATAAGTGTGTGTATGTATGTTTATATATATATATATATATATACATATATACATATATACGTATATATATGTATGTATATACGTGTATATATATGTACTCTATTTATAAGATAAAAAATGCATACTTGAAAGTAATACATCTCATTACCATCTATTATCATACAATATTCTATAATATTAATTTACAAATTTCTCATACTCATATAATATAAAATATAATATAAAATTGACTTAAAGATTCGTTTAATAAAAAAAAAAAAAAAAAAAAAAAAAAACTATTAATAAAGTTAATTTGTAACATATATATATATGCATATATATATATATATATATATATATATATATATATACATATATGTGTGTATAACAATGTAACTATATACATCATATAAAAATTACATCTTTGAAACACAGAAAGTTTATCATATAACTCGAAAAATATGAAAGATGTGTACTTTATGTAGAAAGACTTTAATTCATAATAATAATATTAATAATAATAATAATAATAATAATAATAATAATAATAATAATAATAATAATAATTTGAAGAAACAAAAAACTATTACACTGCTTATTTAGAATGGTTTAGTAACAACAAAATTATCAAAGTATTTTATTTATACATAAAAATTGACGAATATTTCAAAAATAAAACATAATTAATTAACATAATTAATAATTTGTTTTCAACATTATAAAAGTTTCCATATAATATAATTTTGAACAAACAAAACTACGATATATATATATATATATATATATATATATATATATATATCCATTTTATATTTCTTATTTCATATTTAATTGATCCCTATGAATTATTATTTTATATTTATAATTCAATTGATAAATAAATTAATAGAAATTACCAAATCTAATGAATTTTGTTCATCTTTCATATATATATATCTCTATTAATTTTTTGAAAACCTGCTATTAACCAGTGATATACTAATTTTCTTTAATTAAAATGATCTACAATATGATCTATAATAGATATCAGATCAGACACGTATATAGCATGATACCAATTATATAACATTGACATCAATGACTATGAAAGGAATATTGCAAATGATATTCATTTTCAACTTTTCCATATGTATATATACATTCTAGAATATATTACTATCAGGTGCAATTTATTATATTAATATATGTTAATATTCTTAAAATTATACATGTCATTCAGTTCTCTTGTATACATCTCTATATTAAAGGATAAAATGATGTAAAAAATAGTCAACATTCCCAATAAAGCAACAATATTCATCAAGTATCAACAATTAAGAAACACAATGGTATATATGTTTAACATGGATAACAATTGTTTAGATTTGAATTTTTTTTCTTTTTTCTTTTTTTTTTTTCTTTTTTTTTTTTCTTCTTAAATCTACAATATTCGATTTAAAATGAAAGGCATAACAAATTGTGCGCGCTAATACAATATTTAATAAAAATCTACTCTTATATCGCTATGAAATACATCTCATATTTGTTTGCTTACAAATATAAATCTAACTTTATACACAAAATATCGAAAGGAGAAATGTGTCTGTTTTGTAAGTGATCGTAGAATTTTATTATCATTGAAATAGACTTTCAAGGTTTAATAAAAAAAAATAAAAAATAAAAAAAGAAAAAAAAAAAAAGAATGTAATTACGTTAACGAAATGACCATTTAATGTATCATAAAGCAAAAGTAAAATAGATTCGTCGCGATCACTTGCAAAATAGAAAGTTTCACTTTTTTCGAAATGCCAAAATGCTAGATTCTCATATATAATATATTCGTTTTCTAAATGCAATAACAGTAAATCACATTCAATTTAATGCTACAATTGAATAGACAGATCTGACATAAATGATAAAAATTTGTTTAAACCACTATTAAAATGCTTCATTTAAGTCAATCGAGCTCCTTATATACTAATTACACTCCTACTAAATTAATACAATAAATCTTTAAATTAGAATTTTTTATATATATATATATATATATACTTTTTACGATATCCTTTTCTTAAATCACATAAGCACGAATTGCTATTTTAAATTATTTTAATTATTTGTATATCCATGGCAAAAAAATAAAAAGAAAAGAAAAAAAAAAGAAAAAAAATAATTGTTTAGATATTTGAAGTAATGTAAATGAATGATTTAATATCAGAACATAAGATCTTCAAAATGATATAAATTATAATAAGTTGAGATGACATGATAAATAATAATAATAATAATAATAATGATAATAATAATAATAATAATAATAATAAAAAACTGAAGTGCGCATCATATCTAATATCTCCATGTCATATCATTTCATTATATAGATCATTTTCTTCAAAATTAGGAACAAAACCGTACGCATAATCCGAGATGCCTACCTATAGATCTTTAATGTCCTTAAAATCTTGCCAGAAACATATGGACATGTATCCTTTTTAGAATATCAAGGTAAAATGCAGCTACGGCTAAGGAGGATATAGCAATTTAGTTTTAAATTTATACAGATCTCCGTATAAATTTAAATTATTTATTTAAAATTTTTAATATATATATATGTATATATATATATATATATAATATATATATATATATTATATCCGTAGCGTTTTTTTTAAATCTTCGCTTACATATTGTGTAAAAGCGGAGATGCAGAATTTAAAAGACCAAGACGTTGTTTTTGTTTTCTTTGTTCCGTCATCTAATGGGAAAATATAAAGAAAGAAATAATAACGATACAAATAATCATATAAATAATGTAAATAAAAAAAAAAAGATGATATACCTGATCACGTAACTCTGTGAGTTGCTGTGAAAGACATTTCACCAATTGTTGAGTAGTTTCTAATTGTGACTGTAAACTTCTCAGTTCTACTTGTTCTCCTTCACCCTCATCAGCTGCTAAAGATTTTGCTCTTAATCGTGGAAACCAATCAAGATTTCTATCCTGTTAAAAGAGATATGAAATGTTAAGAAAAAAAAAAAAAAAAAAAAAAAAAAAAAAAAAAAAAAAAAAAAAAAAAAAAAAAAAAAAAAAACCAAATACTTAATAACATATACAAATGATTACCTTCACCATTGCATAAACATATGATTCCGGACCTGTAAACTCTGTTGGATCTTTTACCTTTACCAAAACGATGAAATAAAGGTAATGCCACATATTATGTTCATGTTTAACATGTTCCTCGAAAGATACAGTTTTATTATCGAAAGCTGATCTATTTAAACCTATGAAAAAAAATTTATATATATATATAGATCTAAACGCATACATTCGTAATTAAATAATAAACTTACCGCAAATAAAACAAGTATTCTTTAAAATCAATTCTTTCTGTTGTTTCTCCGATCTAAGATCAGCAAACGTATCGATGATAACACCAAATATGAGATTCAAAACAATAATTATCACTATGAAGAAGAATAGTAAGTCGTATACGACTCTAGCAACAAACAGTGGTTCCTATAATTCATATATATTTTACATATCATATTGAAACTATAATATTAGTATCAAAAAAAAATTACAGTTATATACAAACACAAAATGATATTACTGTGCTTGACGGTGCTCTTAAAACATCACCTATTCCTCCGCCATTTCTTAAACCTTGATTCAATGTTGTAACAATGCACATAACTAATGAATCACATGCCCGTTCTTTTATTTCACCGCCAATATTAACCAAATCTTGATTATTTCCTTGTTCATTAACTAAAATGACATTATAGAATATTAATATATTAAAATAATTGAAATGCGTTAAAAAAAAATTACATCGAAAGAATTAATTAATAAATAAATAAAGAAATAAAGAAATAAATAACCAACCTTCACGTATATATCGTGACATTGTTTCAGTTGGTTCACACTTTTCATTATTACTAATTTTACAAGTATTGATAGTTTCATCGTCAAATGTTGCTAAAAAAAAATTCAAATCAATGTATATATTTACTATACTTTTTACGTTAATAATTATGACCGGGATTCATTCAAAAATATTAGAAATATATACTTACGAATAATTTCTTCATCAACGCTAACCAGAAAATCATCTTTAAAGAACATAAATCCAATAATAGAAAACATATAAACTAAAATCAAAGCCAATACAGCAGTGAGTATGATAGATCTTCCGTTTCTCGTTACAGATCTTATTACATTGAGCAATGTTTCCTCTCGATAAACCACATCGAAAAGCTGGATGGAGAAAAAAAAAAAAAAAAAAAAAAAAGAAGAAAAACAAGAATTACATTTTTATACTTACAAATGCACGAAACATATAATGTACTTTGTTTATTTTCAAACGCTTACCAAAACCGAATAGAAAAATGGATGCATCAAAAGTCCTAATACACAAAATATTAAATATGATGCGTGATATAATATTTCACCATTTGTTATTATTTGTTCTAAACTTTTAGTTAGGGTCCCCTGATTTCCTATAATACTTATTAGGTGAATGATCTTTAAAACGATCTGGAAAAAAAAGAATAGGATATATATATATAAAAAAAAAAAAATAAATAAATAAATAAATTAACGAATTTAAATTAATATCCAAATTAAAAGAAATTATAATGATGTTTCGTACCGTAACAAATCCAAGTAACCATAAAGTTGGTTCTGGTCCTATAGAAAATATTAATCGTAAAATTGTTGACGCAACTAACGTACGTATACCCGATTCCCGTGGCAATGTAATGACAATAGCTGCAGATGAAAGCATTACAGCCCAAATAAGAGCTGACAAATGAGAACCGAGTTCTATAAAATTAAAAAAAAAAAAAAAAAAAAAAAAAAGAAAATATATATATACATTTAATATTAATAATATACTTTTTTTCACAGTATCTCTATCCTTCCATTGAATTATCATATTTATATGTAAAACTTACTTGGTACAGAATCTACAAATGGATAGAAGAAAGCTACAATTAAGTTTATAAGGACAGCACAGTTAAATAAAATATTACTCCACAATGACATGTAACTGCTCATCCAAAATAATACTGGCTGTCCTCTAAGTTTCTTTTGCCATTTCATTTCATTAAACATATCCTCCGTTCTTTCAAAGAAATCTGATACTTTTGATCCTTGATCATCACGTTCAGTGGTATGTAACACTTTAATCTTCGTATCAACGGTAATAAGTTCGCATATTTCTGGTATAGGAAAAACTATTTGTTCTAATGTTCTATCATGCCTAACAATCTGAAATAAAATATTAATCATTTAAATTTACATACAATATTTAACATTTGAAAATATAATAATATCTAATGTACTTCAATTTGAGCTGTATGCGATGCATAATATTGCAATGCTTTATTGATTTTAGGATCTGCATTATTTTCTTCTGACGGCCTTAACATAGTTGCTAACTCTTTATTATGTTGAGCCAATTGATGACATAAGATATAAATATTATGGCCGACCTGTAAAAAAAAAAAAATAAAAAAAGAAAAAAGAAAAAAAAAAAAAAGCATTTTAATAATATGACAAATAACAAACGAACGGATTACATTTTAATGTCGCATCGTTTTACCTCTTTAGGAGATACTCCTTCCTCTCCATTAGTCGATGAATCATCAATATCAGTTACATCATCCAATGATTCTTGATGAAATGCTCTACATGCCACATCAACTAATTGCTTTGGATTCATGTTGTACAATATTCTTTCAGCGTTCTCGCTGTCACCTCTACTTTCCATAATAGCCAATAACAATTTACTTGCATTATTTTTCAGTTCCAATACCAAATCCATTCTAGTTTTACCCAAAGGATTAATATCATTCAATATCAAAGCCGTTATAATATCTAAACCATTAGACTCGTGTATTGCAATACAATTCTGATTATCATGACAAGGTCCTTGACAATATTCTGTCAGTGTTTCCAAAGTTTGATTAATTAATGCAACATTATTTTCATTAATATATAATCCAAGTAAGCCTAATCCACCGGTTGTCGAGCCGCAAATACAATCAAGAAACATTAGAGTTTCGGATACCAAATTAAAATTGGTTTTATTGTTTTGATTCCGAAGAAAATTCTGAATATAATAAAAGTATTGTTAAGATTTAATCTTAAAAAAAAAAAAAAAAAAAAAAAAAAAAAGAACATATTATACTTTACATATATTGAATTACCTGAAGATTATGATTATGATTTTCGCACAATAATTGTAAAAAACGTAAGATTGGTTGCATTACTAATACTTTTACGCTAAGCTGAGTATCATCCTTTTCAACGCCAGGCGTAGGCTCAGCGCGTGTTCTTTCCAATTTGTCACCGATCATTTCTTCCACTGCATTATTTGTTACATCTTCCCCAGGTAGAAGATTACGCGTGTTCCCATATACTTGAGCATTAGTCATCGTAGTTGTATTTAAATCATCTCGTAAATCATCGGTACAAACGATTCCATTAAGCTTACCTAAAAGTATATAATAATATTTTACACGATATTAAATATTTACATATTATAATCCATATATAATAATAATAAAATATAACAATTACCTGTTACACGTTTTCTTGATATTTTATCTATTTCCTTATTTGGTTCCTTATCCTCATTAGTTTTTGCCGTTATATCGGATGTATTCACAGTCACGGTTGACTTAATCTCCTGTTGCGCATCTTTCATTTTATCATAAAAAACCTTAATTAAAATATTACAAATTAAACAGAGATTTTTATTGTCCAATCTAATTAACCATAACGTTATAACGAAATGTAAATATCAAATGGATACCTTGAAAAATGATTGACTTAAATCAGCACCCATCAATTTATTAAATACACTTTTTTGTATAATCGGATTGCCACCTTCCAAAAGTGCAATTCCTAATTCAACAACTTGAACAAATATACTAGGAGAGTGTACACTTTTAATAACAAGTTCTACAACCAAATCTGAAGCACCTTCCTTGTCTAAATGGCTTTGAACTTCATGCAAAGTCCTTCCTGCACGACTTAACATCTTAGCTATATAAATATATACAAATTAATATATCACATTAATATAACATTGAAATGCATCATTATGTTAAATATAAAAATATTTTTCTTTATCTTTTTTTTTTTATTTTTTTTTTTTTTTCATCACCTCCTGGCCCATGAGTTACAGCCATTGTACAGGATACTCCAATTTCAACATTTTCAGGCTTCTGAATAAATGTCTTCCCGAAGTAACGTGTCAATAAATTATGCCTTAATGCATCCCCCTGTAGAAAAGGAATGGATATTTATAACGATACAGGTAACAGTAATTTTATTAAAATGATGTACCAATACAATTCCGCTACGTTATTAAAACTTTATCTCAAAAAATGTACATCTAATAATATTCTCAATAAATATTGTAAAATGTGTGTGTATTTACATTCACAGTGCATTGAATAAGGATAAATATGTGTGCCATTAATAGAATGCCTGTATAAACAATATATTTATTTACATTCATATATCGGATGCAAGAAAAAAAAAAAAAAAAACAAAAAAAAAAACAAAAAATTGTGCTTCGTTGTCAGGAATTACTGTACGAATAATAAAATAGAGTATTGTTCCGATTTTTTTTTCTTTCTTTCTTTCTTATCAATCAACTAGAGGAATCAAAATGAAAAGGAATGAAGAAGTACTATTATAAAAGTTCATAACAATTTAAAAAATGCATGAAGAGAATATCATCAAAAAAAAAAAAAAGAAAAAGATTACAATTGGTATCACTAAAAAATGCAATAATTTATACATTACTATTTATATACACTCTTTTTTTATTTCGTAATATCCATACTTCTAATTATGCACGATGCAGACCACTTATATAGACAGATTATGATTAAAAAAAATAATTGATAAATATTATGTGTATTATATTTTACAAACTATTATTCTACAAAATCAAAAATTATAAACACAGTAATCCGTAATTTCAAATAAGAAAAAGAATTTTTGAAAAAAATAGTCCTGATAAGTGGTTTATCTAATATAACATAATATATTACCTCTTATATGATAATAATTTTCCATAATAATTATTTTAACTATAATATTTCAAGAAAAAACTTGATATCTACTTCTGTATTGGTACATCAACTTTTCAATCCATACATATTTACACATCTATATCTAACTATGTTAAATATATGTATACATATATATATGTATGTATGTACACATATATATATATATATAATATATATATGTATATGTATATATATACCTTTTGAGAAAAGCATAAATGGAAAACAGCAAATGAATTAATATACTAAACGGAGTAAATATACAGGTGTCACTTATTTTTTTTTTCGATTATTTTTATTAACAATTTTTTTTTATTTGTATTATGACATCAATACTAATATTTATTTAGTTAAATGAATCAATGCAAACGTGAATGTAATAATATAGTGTGATGAAAACGCTAATTGTAATAGTAATAGCATATTAAAAAGTAACATGCAAAATTAAATCGAGCACGTGCAGAAAAATATTCTACACAACGTACATTATTATTCTATATCTTAACGCGAATACTTATTTTAAATATAAAATTTATATTTTACTTCGTATAAATCATTTAATTATTCTTGCAGAATTATAAAGTACTCATTAATAAAAATGATACTTTTTAATAAATCTGAATATGCTTTAATAAATATATTATTTTGTTTGTTCACAATCTCTTTTTAATTGTTCACAATGTGTTTTTGTATATATGTATTATATAGAAATCAATTATTATAACGATTTATTATATACGTTGTGCCCTTAAAATACCGTTTCTATCTACACTAATTTTTACCCGCTCTTCCTGTGTCATATGACGATCACATTGATCATTGGAATCTGTTCCAAGTTGAGATTCGGTCTTCTTTTCTGAATCTGCATGTTCCAAAATATCTTCATTCTTCGTTCGCAGCGTGAAAACATCTTTACCTACATATCTATTCTACGAGATATACTCACCCAAGGATTGTAACACTTTGTATGGCATATTCAGAAAGCTTATTAACGTTTTTTCTTTTTTTTTTCTTTTTTTCTTTTTTCTTTTTTCTATTTTTTTTTTTTCTTTTTTTTTTATTCTCGCGTTATATTAGCAAATAAAAAATATCTACTTGTGTATTGGTCATCTAAAGTGCAATGATTAATTGGACATTCAGCTTTCTGTAAAGCTAGAGTGCAATTTAAAAAAGATCAAGCTAAACAGATTTTCATTAACTATACTGAATATCCAATTGCTTAATGTTATGAGTTTTATTATTCCTTATATTTAAATGATTTCTATAACTCGTATTTCGTGCAAAAAAAGAAATTACGAAACTTACTTTTTCCCCGTATTCAGGATCAATCGCCATCATTTCTCGAAGTGTTTTTAATACCTTTACACATAATTTTTCTTCTTTTTCTTCGAGTAATTTTTCGGTATGCTTGATCAATCTAAAATACAAATATGATTAAATCTATAACGGGGCTTTATCATTGCAAATTATGAAAGTGATAATAATTAAAAAAAATATTACCTCCTAATAAATCCACCATTTCCACATCGTTTTCTAGCTTCAGTTGCTGCTGGAAATAATAGTTCCGGTCGATAGAGAATATCAACCAACAAGGATAATTCTGATTGTACCAATGGTTTAAGTTGTTCTTCCAATAAACATACTATGTCTTGTAAACCTTCTATAATACTACGATCCAGGCGCATCAGCTACGAAGAAAAAAAGACTATACGGTTATAAATATAATTCAGGCATAAAAGGATATTATTTTTATCACGATTTTCCTATAAATGTACTATATTATGTGAGAATAACATTATGTAATTTAATTTTTGTATAGAGCAAATTACAATTTGTACAAATAACTCTTACTAATATACATCTCATTACTGAAAATTATATGTATATATATCATATATATATAATTATAATATATATATATATATATATTAATTTATTTAATATACTATTATTTCAAAAATATACATAAAAATCTAAGGATTCAAATTAATGCTATGAGTTTTGAACAACTTTTACCTCATCTTTACAGCTGTCCATCAAAAGCATATCACTCTATACATTTAAGGAAACTTATTATAACATCATGAATGCACAAGAAATATTTGAATATATATTTTTAATTTTTCTATAATCACCTGACTTTGAGTACGTTCTATTTTCGGTTGTTTAGCAGCTTGAAGCCATTTACTTGTTTGCCTGCTAAGCATCGCTGCTTTATTAAACATAGATGCAACTTGACTTTCCAAATCAGTAGGAATGGCAATACCTCTTCCCTTAGCTTAAATTTCAAACGTAAAATATTATTCAACCATATATAATAATTTAAATAATTATTAAATAATCATATAAATTTTTTATTATACTTTTACAACTTACCAACGTCGGATAATGTTCTTATACAATTTTCTACATTGAATCTTTGTCCTGCATTCAACCATATACATTGTGATACTTTAAATGCTGCATGAAGTAACTGGACAAATATAGGCTGTCGGGTCTAATAATTAACAAAAAAAAAAAAAAAAAGAAAAATAATTAATTGTTTTCTAAACAATTTTTGATACAAAATTTTTAATATAAATAACAAACAAAATGAGAAAAAATTGAATAAATACGACCATGTGAGTGCTTTTATTGTATTAATGTGTGTTATTTGTTTTTAAGTATAAATTGTAATTATAGTGTACATATAATTTTATAAAATTTATAATAAAGAGTTTAAAATGTAATTTTAATAGTACACTGAAACTCTTTGTTGCATAAAATATGTACATATATGTGTATATATATATATATATTAAATACTATACCCATTTTGAAACTCATGCTGTCAATTACAAACATTACTTGTCAATGTTACTAATTGTAAAAACAAACTGCATATTTATAGATACTATCTTAATAGTGTTACAAGACTTGTAATTATTATTAAGAATATCAAGACTATATAAGCCAATATTTATTAACATAGTTATTAATAAATTATTAATAATGGCCCTTGTCAAGATAATCTTACATTATTCAACGAACTTTTCAAATTATTTTATAAGTGTACATAAATATATTAAAATTTATTATCTGTTTTTAAGGAAAAAAAAAAATTTTTTTTTTTACTTTTAATATTTTATTCTTTATACAAGGATATGCAACGAAAGAGTATTTTCTATCAGAAACAAATGCACTTATATTATTCTTTGAAATATATTCTATATCGTTTTTTAAAACTAATCACATAAGTAATGGGAGTGTGTTTGTACAATTCTTGTGTTCTTAGGCCAAGACAGCACTCTACTATTAATACTCACATAACTTGCAAGATTATTGTCAATATTCCGGTCACATTCCTTGATGCTCCAATAAAGTCTAGCCTCGTGCAGTTGTTTCTATTAGTAAATCAACCCACCACCATTACAGACCCAGCACATAGACCCAGTAAACCCATGTTGTTGATTCAAGAAGGCCAGGTATTGCATGCCAAAAACACAGAACATGCCGCTGGTGCAATCAATAATGACCAAGCACATATCAAATAATATTAATGATGTCATCATATGTATTATATATCAGTCTACTATTGTATTTTATATTACATAAAATGGATAACGCGAATTTGATAATATACTACTACGTATTCCTATAAATTCGAAATATTAATTAAAAATAATTACTAATTGAAGTTCAATTCAAAGTTAATGATAAAAATTATAAAAAAAAAATGGAGAAATGAAAAAATGATAAAAATGGAGAGAGAGAGAAAAAGAGGATGAAAAATATTCAGAAAAAAAAAAAAAGAAAAAGAAAAAGGAAAAATTAAAAGAAATGATTCTGAGTTAAATAACATCTTCAATGTGCCTATGATATGTACTTGGTTGATGAATGAATGGTTAGTGTATGTAACATGCAAAGCATAGATTATGATATAAAATGAATATGTATATTTATTTTTTATGGCTAATTCAAAATGTATTTCTTAAATGAATCTATCTTCTCTAGCTTGTTCTATCATCCTGTTTTCTTATTCCTGAAAACGAAAATTACCTAACAATATTATATATTTACATTATTTCTATATAATTGTTTTTTTATCATTATCTAAGTTTCTTTCCTTCGATTAAAATTCATTTGCGTTTACATCTATTTTATATTTACATATTTAATATAATACTAGCAATCCAATCAAAGTTGTACTTCTAAATCTATAATTCATTGATATTCATTGCTACAATTACCTCATTTTCGAAGAACTTCAGTCATATAATGAAACATAAAATAAAAACATAATACAATACAATATTCTTGAAACTACTATAATAGAATGAGATCGCTGAAATACTAATTCTCTAGTATAGTGTAACACCTATGAAACTTGTAGCACTATTATTCATTGCTAATTGTTTGTACCGACTCCAATGTATTATAATTGCTTGATTGCTTACTAAATTCAATTAGTATCAAATATCCTGAGTTGTCATAAGCACATGCATTTACATAATTCATTAGATACCCAGAAAATTTTACTTTTCTTTTTTTTTTTTCTTTTTTTTTTTTTTCTTTTTTTTTTACGCGAAGATGACTAAATTTGAAAGCCATTCTTGCTGTTTAGTTTTTTAATTGATATATTTAAAATATAGGGAAACGATTTTATACATTAACAAATCAATTATAAACAGCGTAAATAAAATGTGCCATTATTTCGAAGAAATATTTTTTGTGCTGTATATATATATATATATATATTGATTTAAACAGAATAAGTTTATAAAAGAAAGAAAAAAAAATGATTCACACAAATTTTCAATATGATTTAAAACATGAAGTATTTGATATGTTACTGTATAAAAAAGATTATATATATTTGAAAATAGGCACAACAATTTTATTTTACAGTATATATAACAAAAAAAAAATTAAAAATTGAATATATATATATATCCGAATAAACAATGAAAAAATATGGAGAATAATAAATAAAATAATAATAAACCGTAAGAAAGTTTTATTTTGTTATAAAAAAAAAAATAAAAATACACTACCTGGACTGTTGTACTCTGATCAGAAAATGGACTGCTGAAGAATGTAGTAATGATATTCATTAAACAGCTTGTCACATAATTCTCTAAAGCAATATCTGCATCTTGTTGATCACTTTTAGGTGTTGCAATCAATGTCATATCTACAATGAATGACTTTTCAAATAAGGACCACATATGATTCGAATTATATATTTCTTTCATTTCTACTTCAGTATCTATGTAACAATGATTAAGGAAATTGATGTAAGCTTCCTTCACCTATTGAAATATACATATATATATATATATGTATGTTGTGTTATAATGAATATTAAATATTAAATAACTAGAACTGAAAATGTACCTAACATATACATATTATTGTTATTACCTCTGGTATACAATCTGGATGTGATACCATAGCAACAATATCATCTAATGGTAAAAGACTATGACATTTGATTTCAGTATTAACATTTTTACCCATAGTACAACAAGCTAATAACTTTACCAATTCAACGTGATATCTAAAATTTAAATGATAAAAGTGTTATTGAAGGTATTTCTATGCTATTTGAAAATTAATTCCATTAAATAAACTAAATTTCATTTCAATTACTTAAGTGGACTACTTTCATCCATTCTGTGCCTTTCAGATCGCATCATTTCCACAAATTGATTAAACGAAGCTCTGTCATTATAAAAAACCAAAACGTCTTCTCCAGCTTGAACAAGCTAAAGAAAAATAAAATTGTTATGCTACTGTTAAAATATCTCATTGCGATTAAATAAATATTATATATAGCTCACCTCTTGCATCACCATTTCTTGACACTTTCTTATAAACTGATTTTCCGCTTTCACGATAGTTTGAAGAAATCTTAAATATTGCACATGTTTCCCATGTGTCTCTATGCAATGAACAAAGTGCTGAATCACTTTAACACTCACTTCATTGCAAAGAGTAGAATTGTCTTGAAAAATACTACATACTGTTTGTGCCTCTCGTATACCAGGATTTAAAAATAGATCCAATTGTTTGTGCAACAGAACCTGATTCTGTTGATTGCCCAGACAAAAGTTTTGCAAGAAATCATGTGCCAAACGCATTAGCTCATTCATTCTAACATCTTCTTTATCGTCAAAAGGTACTTGCAATAAATCTAATACAACAGTATGGACACCAACATTACGCAAAAGTCTTTGCTCGTGTTTACGTGGCTTTACTTGTCCGCCTGGTATTGTTTGGATACAGAGTTTATTCATTCGTATTAATATTTGTTGAATTTTTTTATATTCCTCAGCTTGATCCACGCTTAATGGCGGACCAATATCCAAATCTATCGCTGATCCTTTAATAACGCATTTAAATTAAAAACTTAATTTAATCATAAAAGGATTATTTTAATGTAAACAATATGACAAAGAAACCTTTTTTATCGGACGTAGACAATTGCGGTGGTGCTTTACGAGGCGTTGAAGAGTCCTCTTCGTCTTCTTTACTTTTTTTCTTTTTATTTCCGTGTTCTTCTGTAGCTTTTGACTTGTACACCCAAAGTTCAGATTTCTCAACTGATTGCCGTAAAACATCTAAATCTGCCTTAATTTGCTTGTAAGATTCAACATCGCTATCTGAGACTAAAAGTTGTACCTAATAATTGAAATGACAATAAATTGATTATAATAAAAAGTCCTAATAAAACATTAAATTATTTCACATTATATTCAAGTGACAAACCTGTTTAAATGCTTGCAATACTTCTTGCCTTTGGCTAAAATGTCTAAATAATAAATGCAAAGCTCCAGATACTAAAGGTGGATAATCGTGCATTGCTAAATGAAGTAAAACGCGTAAAAATGTTCTTCCACCTAGACCATCTAGATCCAACGCCACACATTCTTCACTAAATAACATATTTTTTTTAAATAATTAATTTATTAGATTTATCATTAAAATATAATAGAATTTACCTGCTTCCAAAGATCCCTTCGGCTTGTGTTCCAATGGATTCCAAATCGATGGTTTTTTGACAAAGTTGACTTAAGTCTTGACCAGAAGCTTTTTCAGTTTCATCAAATTCTTGTTTGAAAATGCTCAATAAACAAGAAATTCTATAATCCAATCGAACGTCGAGAATAAACTGAAGTATTTCAATTATTTTTAATTTGGTATCCATCACCAAGGGATATTCTTTCTTTGAAGTAATCTTTGGCCTTGGAGATGTACTTCCAGCCAATACTTGTCCAGCCGGTCCTAAAGTTAAACTCGTCATCACAGCACCCATATCTCCAATACATCTGAGAACTCCTCCTTCGGCTATTAAAATACACGGTACGTTATTTAATATAGAAAATTTTTATTGTATAATTTATTAATAAATTAATTTCATTTTATCAATAACAATTAACACATTACAATACATTTAATAACACACGTGTAAATATAATGGCCGAATATATCTATAATCTACTAATAAACAGAATGATTATTATGTATACATTAATTATCATTTTATAGGACCTAATAGAATATTACCTGCCTCTTCAGAATCCATAGACTCAGCTAAGAAATATTCAGAAAATCAGGTAGTTAGTTACATATATTATTGGATAATACATTACAGAAACAAAAGGATGATTAGGGAGAAAATATATACAACTGTATGTCAAGGTTTCATGAAATATCAATTAAAATATCAAATTTACAGTCATGCAAATAATACAGGAAAATACAATTAAAATATATAAGGGAGTAAGGATTATTGATAAAAAAAATTATATAATTCAAATACCGATCTCATATAAATTATGTTAAATATATTACAATAATATATTTATAATATATAAATAAACTTACAGTCAATTTCTCCGGTTGGTATTTTCCCATCAATGAAATCATTTTCAGAGACACAATCTAAGATACTTAATAATGTTTTAGTTAATCTTAACAGATCGTTAAAACTGTAGAATCCAAAATAAATTAAATCGCGTGCTAATTTAACCACCTGTGAAAAAGATAAAAAGAAAAAAAAAAAAAAGAACATCATTTATTATATTACTAAAATGCACATAATTATTTAATAATTTTTATTATTATAGACAAGAAATATGTCACAAATAAATTGAATTTTATTTACCTCAAACGTAAGCTTATTTTGTTCTTGATCTGCAAAAGACCACATCTTTGCAACAACATTGCAGAGATAATCTTCCACGAATTTTATGGTCGAACTAAATTTTACGCGAACAGCTTCTTTATTTTCGTCGGGCATTTTATTTGTATCATAACTGAAATATTTAAGAATTTGTGATAAACAAATATCAAAAAAAAAAAAAAAAAAAAAAAAAAAAAAAAAAAAAAAAAAAAAAAAAAAAAAAAATTAAAATCAATATAAATAGACATCTTAATTTCATCACGTACTCATTAATGCTCATTTTCAATGGAATTTCGGACCAAAGACGGGCATACTTCACTGGTGTCACTTGTTCTTGTGGATCTCTATCCACGTGAAGATGTAACATAAGTCGACTAAATGAGGCACGTAATTCATATGGTACATTTTCATCTTCCATGCATCTAAAAGAAGTTCACAATTATGAAAAAAAAAAAAAAAAAAAAAAAAAAAAAAAAAGAAAATTATAATTCCATGTAATCATCGAATAATTACAATAGACGCTAATAAACCCACTTAAGTATGAGATCTATATCCAAATGCGTTGATAAATTGTTAAGCGCTAAATATTGCCTGTTAAGACACATATTGCTAAATAAGTTCAATTGATGTCTGTAATAATCCAAAATTGCTGGTCCCAGTAAATTACCCAGTTTAGCGTTCTTCGATAGCTCGCATAAAGACTTTGATTTCTATAATGTAAATTAATAAATAAACAATATATATTTTTACGCATTATATGAGTTCAATGAAAATTACAAACCGTTGCATTGTTCCAAAAAAGATATACTTCATCTTTTTCTTTAACGATTACTTGAGACTCATCATTGTCTTGCTTTTGATCGATCATTTTCATTTCAGTTTTAACCTTCATCATCCTATAAGAAACAAAATTTCATTCGTATATCCATTATCATTAAATTAATTATATAAATATAAATTAAATGAACAATTTCTCTTGCCTGGTCTCTAACAAAATATCTTTATTTTTTTCACTGAGTACACTTTTACATATCAATTCTTGTGTTACGGCAATAGCTTTCTTATTGGAAATACATAAATCCGACAAGTAATCTAAAAATCTGGATTCCCAATTATGCATATTTTTTCTTACAAGACCTACGAACGTTTCGATCTCGGCTGCTGTAATATGCTTTTCTAATAATTTTCGATTATTGTGTAAAAGTGCTGTGATCGTGTCCTCTGCCAAAATATCATATCCAATTTGCTTTTGCATGAAAGCAAAATGTTTGGCAATATATTCCTAATATCAAACGTTTTAATTAAATATCATAAATATATGAATAATCGAAATAAACAATTTTGCCGATCGACGTTCTAAATGTACCTGATTTTTCCTGTAATCTTGTTGGGACAGTCTGAGTATACGATAACACAATCGAAACATATATTTGTACGGTGCATGTCTTGGATCATTAAGTTCCTCTATTCTAAGAAATGGTCCCTCACCCTCGGCCGACTCTAAAAATGGTGCCTGAAATTCTTATTTCTTAGCACATACAGCCTTACACAAACACATTATATTTGATACTCTGATAATATTACAATACCTGAAGTATCTTAAATAATTGACCCAGAATATATTGTTCTCGGAGTAATTTTTGTCGGTCTCTAACCGCATTCGTTACGATTAACTCCAAAGCCTCGGATTTATTTTGCTCGTTTTCTAATCCCGCAATAAAATAAACTATATCTTGCAATAAACTAGTTACGGCCCTCCGTTCATTATGAGAAATCGTACCCTTCTCCAATTTACAATTTATAGATGCCAATACTTTACAGGCATCATTTGCAAAATCTAAATCTCGTACTTCTACCGGTGATACAGATCTCAATGCAAAAGCCTCTTTGTCTTCTTTGTTTAACGCACAACCAACCTTACAAGTGAGAAATAATTTGTTAACATTCAAAATTACGGACGAACGACGTATGAGACTCATATAAAATAATAAATGAAAAATGATATATATATGCGATGCGATACCTTTGACATTACTGGCTTTTCGTCATCCTTGTCAATCGGTACACTCGTCGAGTGAACCCACGTATTTGTACATATATGGTGTAACCTAACGAAGGAAGATTGAGGTACTAAACTATCACCCCTCGTTAATGTGGTTGGATCTAATTCGAATAAAGAACTAATCTCGTTGCTGTGTGGTACTGAAACCAATCTATAAACTTGAACAGCAGGATCTATTAAGTAAAAAAAAGAACATTGTTATTATAATCTCTATTTGTTTGAGATTTTCAACGATTCCATGAATAACATCCGTATCTTACCACGCTTGCTATTACTTGTCTCATAAGGCTCGTCTGTGTCAATCTCAGCGGCAAGATATTGACCCGTTGCTAAATGCTTGAATCTAAAAAGAGAATTCCAATGTCCTGCTCCACCCCTGCAGGGATCATGTTGTACGACTTCAACTTCCCATAATGCTTTACTACTAGTAGCAGCAGTCGCACTAGTCCTTCCTGTTGTCCTAAGAAAAACGTGTTGCTTCTTTTTATATTCGTCCATCGTTAAAAATTTTTCCTGCTCGGCATGAAAGAGCCTAACTACATCGCCGCCCTTAAGTATCTCCTCTTGATTCTCTCTATGCTCCATAAAAAGTGTCACTTTCCAGGATGTTGACGAATTAACGACATTCACTTCTTTACATCCAGGATTATCGCTGAGCTCGTAATTGGCCGCTACGTGAAGCCCTTGTCTACCAGCATTCACCGGTTCTAATATCACCTTATCACCAACTACTACGCTATCTCCGTCACTTCGCAATTTATAAAATGGCATTATGTAAAGCCAAGAACCCTCATTCCCATTTGCATCTAGATATACTCTCATTGCGTTCTTCTCAAGAAGCGCAGGTAATCTCTTGTTAACAGTCAAAAACTTATTTGACTTCAAATGTAAAAGCTGAAAAAAAAAAAATATATATATATATAAGTACAATGAACATCGATAAATTTATACAGGTTAAAATTTTGTAAAAATATTAATTTAAGGATATATTGAACGATGAACGTATTTTAATAGGGACACAAAGAGAAGATTGTTCTCGTATATCGTGACGTTATATCTTTGTCAATGAAGGTATGACGCCTCTAGGAACATTTTCCAAGAGACAAAATCTAATAAAATCGCCTGAATGCGTCGAGAGTACCCTTACTTTATCGTACAATGTTAATTAGATTAATCGTTAATACTATTTGTGGTCTTCTTCAGGGTCCAATACGATAGACGAAATTATTATTATTATTATTATTATTATTATTATTATTATTATTATTATTATTATTATTATTATTATTATTATTATTATTATTATTATTATTATTATTATTATTATTATTATTATTATTATTATTATTATTATTATTATTATTATTATTATTATTATTATTATTATTATTATTATTATTATTATTATTATTATTATTATTATTATTATTATTATTATTATTATTATTATTATTATTATTATTATTATTATTATTATTATTATTATTATTATTATTATTATTATTA